TATAGTGTGATGGGAGGAAACATCCACAGTGTGAAATTGGAGTACAGTCAGGCCAGTGGGGGAAGGTGGATAGTCAGACATTTTATGAGAGAATGAGTCTAACGACCGATGCAAAACCTTTTTTGTCCTTCAGCGCTGACTACATTTTTATCACTTTATTGAAAGCGACCATGGAATGAATTTCGCTGACGTTGCGAGAGCAAGGTGGCTGATAACCTGGTTTGAGCCCTAAGAGGAGGGTTATAAACATGGATTTTGGTTGACTGTTAACAAAGGACTGGAACGTTTGCTGATTAGAGGCTTTACTACTATCTGGAGGGGGAACTATTCGAGGTACTGTTCACAATGGGGTGATGACACACGCAGCTTTCCTTGTTGCTATACTCCATGTCTTAACGCTTGTTCGTGCCAGGAGAGCCGATACTTCTGCCACGCTGGACTGTACGACTGTGCGGGACGAATGCAAAGGATTCGGAGGACTTTCATATCGACAATCAACGATCGCGCCGAGCTGAGCAGAATGTCGAAGGACGTGTGAGATGGCGCGAGAAGATGGCTCAACGCCAACGCTGAGACGAAACAGCTTCAGCCGGACATTTCGGAGAATCTGCAACGAGGAACTGGCTGCAGTTAAGAAACAGGGTGCTGTGGCGGAGTGGCCATTGTGGTTACCTTCCGCAAAGAGGTTAGGACGACGGTATGTTTTCGCGTCGGATTGTGTTCGTGTGTGTCGCGCGATCGATATTAGCAGATGGATCGGAGGGTATGTGGGCGTTGGCGTTCGTCGGATATTACCAGCGGATGCCAGCGATTGTCAGCAAGCCAGCGAGACCCAGCAAGCCAGCGAGCCAGCGAACAGTCGGGTTAAAACTAACTGTTAGCATGGGAGCGTGATAAGTGTCAGTACCTGGCGATATATTAGTGGGGTTATTGTGTGTCGTTGAGTCGTTATGGCGCTGTATGTCAGCTGGCGGAATGGTATTGCACTCGTGAGTGATCTGTCTAGTTGTTGTTGTTGTCGTAACGGTTGAACGGAGGAGTGGCGCCAGTTTTAGAACCCAGGGTGGTGCGGGCAGGAGGCTGTGTGTTGGTTTGTTGTTGTATTGTTAGGTTTGTTGTTGTTGTTGTTGTTGGTTGGTTGTCGTCATAATAATTTGAACGATAGACTGGCTGCAGGGTAGAACAAGTGCCGGTCGGCGGAGGCCGTTGTTGTTGTTGTTGTGTTGTTTTGTAATCTAAACGCAGTTACTGGCTTGCGTTTAGAAACCAGGTGCCACGGCGGCGAGGCCTGTGTCTTTGTTGTTGTACAGGGTTCAGATTTTAGATAGGGTGAGTACCCTAAGCATATGGGAAGCTGTCGAGGCCCTATTTGGCATTATTAACAGGAATAAGGTATAAACTGTGAACAAAGGAAAAGAAGTCTGGAGATTTATTGAGTGGCCTCAGAGTGTGGAGACGTATGCTCTTGCAGACTTGTTGAGCTGTATGTCGAAATCTGGCCTGTGTTAGTATCCTTGTAACAGGATGATGGCCTGTTGCCTTTGTATATTTTGTGGTTTTAAGGATTCTGTTAAGTTTTCTGTATCTAGTTTGTTAGTCCAGTAAACGTATATCCTCTGGCTGTACATACGGATACATTGTAGTCCATTTCATAGTTGCCTATATGCATTGTGCGATTTCTAATAGGCCGTTTGAAATTCTGTGGGAATGTTTGCGCTTTCAGCATATTTTACTGGAAGGGGTCCGGCGGCGCACCCCGGATATCTACATGGTTGGTGAGATGGTAGAGAGGGCTGCTATGGCAGGCCTTGCTCAGGGAGTGCTGGCGCTGTACATCAGTAAAAAGTAAATGGAATAGCAAGCAGGCTTCAAGGATTGTTATAAAACAGATGACTGCAGTTTGCAACGTCATTGGTCACTACAGAATGACATTGGGACTTGGCAGCAAGGTATGTAGGCTAGCAAAACATTGGATGGTGCACATAATGTTCCACTGTGGCGTTTGTTATGTGATCGGGGACCTATCGGTACACGATTTTGTAGTAGTGCCTGGATCAGAGTTTACTAATAGTACTAGGGTGATAAAATAACCTATTTGGTTTGAGTTTTTTGGTTGCGGATGGTTTAATCGGTCGGTTTACTTTTTATAGGCAATCTAATTATTACAATCATTCTTGTATCGTTTTCGTTGATATCAGGAAACCATGACTGTTTTTGCCCGTTTGGACTGCGTAGCTGTAATTGCACGATCACAAAATCATTAAATAACTTGAAAACTATCGCATTTGCCATTGGGTAATTCAGTGTATGGAACACCTTCCTAGTTGTTCTTCCCTGTCACCATTACTGTCGTGCAATCGTCTAATCACGTGTTATCTTTCAGACCTCCGCGTGAAGCCGTTTACACAAAGTCAAATCAATACATATCAGAGTTACCTGACAATCTAGTAGACAAGATGTACAGCATCTCAGATGCAGATTAATGAAGTACCTCTGCCTACAGAAAACACAAAACTGCGTTAATTCACGTCAGCTTTGGAACACATGAGAACTGTTGTGAGATACGCTGTGTAAAATTATAACCTGTAATTTTGTTTAACTGTAAGTTAGAATGTAATAAGCGTGAGAGGTTTGTGGCTCATACATTGCAGAGGATGGAGATTGCGTTCGCAGGCATCCGCGGAATCGCGGATTTGACATGTACCAGGGGTCGATTTGTTGAACGTCTAATTCGTTGAGAAAATTGGGAGGGGTAACCAATGTAAAATTTAATATTATATATCCTCAACAGCACCTGACTGTAGACTGTAGCAGGTTAGAGACAGTAGCTGACAGACGAGAAGTATACAGTGTATCTGTTTTTGAGTACCAGAAAAGAAAATCCTCTCGTTCACAGGACTGCGAGTAGAGGGGTAACAACAACAACAGCCACCCGCCCACGCACCTGGTTTCTAAACTGCAGCCAGTCCTCGTTCAGATTCCCGATGTCCGGCTGAGAGCTGTTCGTCTCGGCGTTGGCGTTGAGCATCTCCGGCGCCATCTGCACGTCCTTGGGAATCATGTCTCTCACGCGCGGATCGTTGATGTCGAAGTGAAAGTCCTCCGAGATCTTGCATTCGTCTCGCACGTCGTACAGTGCCAGCGTGCAGAAGTACGGCTCCGCCTGCACGGAACAGCGTTAGAACGGGAGTATACAACAAGGAAAGCTGCGTGTGTCCATCACCCATTGTGAACAGGTACACGAAATAGTTCCCCCTCCAGGGTTGATAGTAGTAAGCCTCTAATAGCAAAAGCAGTTCAGTCCTTTGTTAACAGTCAACAAATCCATGTTTAACCCTCCTCTTGAGGGTCAAAAGGTTATCAGACACTTGCTCTTCGCACGTCAGCGGAAAGTAGATTTCATGGTCCTTTCAATAAAGTGATAAAAATGGTAGGTCAGCGCTGAAACAAAAAAGTTTTTCACTCGGTCCGTTAGACCATGTCCTCAGAAAATGTCTGATATCTTACCTTTCCCCAACTGCCCTTTGACCTGTGACCTCCAATTTCACACTGGTGATGGGTTTCCTCCCCATCACACTATACACCGAATATTAAGAGCGTAAGTCGAGCCGTTGAGATTTGTGCCGCAATTCCGTATTTCCTTCTATACCTTAAGTTAAGGGGGAAATATTCCCCCTCCATTGACACATTGATCCCCCCCCCCCGACGTCCCAAATATCAAGACCGTACGCAGAGCGGTTAAGATTTGTGCCCAACTGTTGACGGACGCACGGACGGACAATCATGCGATTCTACAAGCTGCATCTGACTTCGTCAGCTGAGCTAATAAAATGTATACTATGCAAATAATTGTTTACAGTTCGGGTAGAATTCATGGATGTACTAATATCATGAACACATATATAGAAGAATCATTTACAAGTAAAATGATGGAAAAATAGAATCTTTAATGTATAGAAGACATATTTATTAATCCATACACAAGTCCATGCCAACATCTACATTAACTATATTTTCCCATCAGTCGTGGGAGCCACATTGTTGATAAGACATAAATTGTACCTGACATTGGTTGAATCTGTCACCCTGCTGCAGGCTGACCAGGAGCCGGAACGATAGGTTCTCACACTTAATAAGAAGTCTCAGCCCAAATCGTTCACTATATGTGTCGATTTTCATTTCGTCTTGATATTCATCCGGCACACTGTTTTTCTAAGAAGAAAAGAGACGAGTCGTGCTTTAAATGACTTCTGATGGCACAATTACGAATTGCTTGTACTGAAAAATGCTTCATGGCATTTACTGCGGGCATTAAACTATATGATGCAATTTTACCTTATTACTTGTACCGGTACGAACCTAAATAGACACTCGAATAGCATGCCTTAGCTGCTGATACCTATTTGTAATATCAACACAAATTCATGTGAAACCAATCTGTGATTCTCAACGAATTTAGACGTTTCACAAAATCGACCCCTGGGACTGTCAAATCCGCGGATTTCCGCGGATCCGCGGAAGAATCTCATCCCTGCATGTATGACGCCACAAACCCTCACGCTTTACATTTAACTTACAGTTAACAGAAATTTACAGGTTATTTTACACGCGTATCTCAACACGTTCTCATGGTGTTCCAAAGCTGACGTGAATTACCGTTTGTGTTTTATGTAGGAGAGGTACTTCATTAGATCTGCATCTGAGATGCTGGTAGCATCTTGTCTATAGATTGTCAGGAACTCTGAATATGTATTGATTTCTTGTGTAAACGGCTTCAGCAGAGGTCTGAAAGATAACACGTGATTAGACATTGGACGACAGTAATGGTGACAGGGAAGAAAACTAGGAAGGTTCCTACACTGAATTACAATGGCAAATGCGATATGTTTAAGTTATTTAATGATTTTGTGATCGTGCAATTACAGTACCAGTCAAACGGGGCAAAAACAGCTCAAGGGGTTTCCTGATACAACGAAACCGATACAAGAATGATTGTAATAATTAGATGCCTATAAAAAGCTAAACCGCCGATTAAACCTCAGCAACAAAAACTAAAACAAATTAGGTTATTTTATCACTAGTACTATTAGTAAACTCTATCAGCACTTACTACAAAATCGTGTACATATGGTCCCCATACATAACAAACCCCAGTGGAACATTATGTGCACAGCCAAGTTCTTGCTAGCCTACATACCTTGCTGCCCAAGCAAATGGCATTCTGTAGTGACCAAGACGTTGGCAAACTGTAGTCATCTGTTTATAAACCTTGAAAGCCTGCTTGCTATCATTACTTTTACTGATGTAAGGCTCAGCACTCTGAGCAAGGCTGCCATGCAGCACCTTCTCTACTCTCACAACCATGTAGATATCCGGGTGCGGCCGCCGGACAGAAAATATTGCCTGAAACCAAACATTCCACAGATATTTCAACCCTAATTAAAATGCACGAATGCATGATGAGCAATATGAAATTAGGACTACATGTACCGTATGTACACAGAGATATAGTTACGACTGAAAATCTAGATACAGAAACTTAACATGATCCTTAAAACCATAAAATATACAAAGGCAACAACATCACCTGTTACAAGGATACTAACACAGGGCCAGATTTCGACACAAGCTCAACAAGCTGCAGCATAGGGTCTCACAGTCTGAAGGGGCCACACAAAATCTCAGATTCATTTCATTTGTTACAGTTTTACCTTATTCTCTGTTAATAATTGCCAAATAGGGCCTCGACAGCTTCCCATAGCTTAGGGCCTCACCTGGTGGGGGGGTCAGTCTGGGGGGCGGGGTTACGGTTTAGTATATGAACTTTTTCAACTGGCTCGTTAGTTATTCGGATCTCCATTCCGCTACGTTTCTATGAAAATTTGGCGCAACTTGGCTTGCATGCCACCAACGCATCACACGCTATCGCTACACTCTCCATCTAACTCACTTTTCATACACGCACTAGCACACTTCACTAGATTAGTAGATATGTTATACACTTATATATACATTAGCTAAATTATGACATACCACTAACTATTTTACATGATATACAAAACACGGGAGCAACTAAACGAGGCGAGGAGCGTCCCAGGGCTGACAATTAAGGCAGTAAGGATTGGTCGACACACCACTCACAAAGCAGACGACTGCGACATTCCGCTCGAAGAGAGCTGCAGCGAGCACTGTTTGCATGCAGAACCCTGTGCGCATTGTCCAGGAATTTGCTGGTAAAATATCTGAGTACAAAAAGTATTTGTCCACTAGGCCACGCGACAACCATCCCACACAATCACAGTGCGGACGGAGGTGATTTTATTATGCACTTTTCTCCATTTTCTCTATTTACTTGCCTTTTTTTCATTTGCTTCTGTGGCCTCTGTATTCCCATATTCTCTACATTCTCCAGTTCTCGTACCCTTGTTCCTTCTATCTTCTTTCCCTCCTCATACCTTCCTCCTACCTCCTCGTACTCCTCTACTCTATATTCCACTTTAGGCCCAGCCATCTGCTGTTTAGTAATTAATTATTATGTAAATTACTTATAGTCTATTATATGATAGTTACAGCTGTTTGAACATCAGTATCTTGGGTTGCTGCACGTATTAAGTAGCTTGCGTTATGTGTTTCACAGTTGCTGAAAAGATTTTAGTCGCAATCAGCCAACCCACCTGTGCTGAACCAATCAATGCATATGATAGGGATTTATATTATTGCGGCCCGGACACACAAGGCAATTTTAATGCGATCCTAATCGCGCGACTTTATCCGCCGCCGATAATGTATCGGGCACGGATTCCTATCGCGCTGGTCGATGTGAGACACACTCAGGCGATTTTATGGGGCGACTGAAATAATGCGCGGCGCGAATAATATCAAAAACGTTTTGATCTTATGGCGATTAAATCGGCGGGCGACTGACCTGGACACAGACTGGAGGCGTTATTTCACGCGGCGATTTAGTCGCTTCCGAGTTTAATCGCCTAGTGTGGTACAGCCCTTTATGCGAACTTGGCCGTGTATTCAAGT